AAAATTTTTTTTTTTTTTAAAAATTAAAAAATTTTTTTTTTTTTTTTTTTTTTAATATCTGATTCAATGTTTGAACAACATCAGGACACGTGTGCAATTTCCGGTGAGCATTTTCGTTGTTTATTCGTCTGTGCAGCATACAAACTTAATACTATTCTCTGGCTTGTTTTCTTATATGTTTTCCTCATCGGAAGACAGTGCGACGTTTCTACGACGTCGTGACCGGATATTTCTTATTTGTAGAAAATTATTATGCAAATCGTTGGAATAGTCGGGATTCTCATTACGTGAAATAATAACATTGTCCCCGGTTCATATTAACTGTCTCACAATCCAAGGATACGGGGGGATCATTTATATAGGCATTTGGTATATATATTTTTTTAACAATATTCTTAAATCCCCGGCTTTATTTGTACCGTCTAGAGTATTTTTCAAAATGCCATTTTTTGTCTGAATTTCATTTTGAGGATCATTTTCTACGAACGTGACTGGCGAAAGTGGACGTGGAACTTGCACCCAGTGTGTTTCGTCACGTAGCGTACTCAAGAGATACATAAAAAATGGAAAGCCCATGAGATTCGCACACATGTGCTTCCCGCACAAATCTGTGGATTTCCGTATGTCGTGGGAAAAAAAAAAATGTGTCTTTTAAAATTCAAAATTCAAAAGAGCGCTACGTTACCTGCAGTTATCGATGGTCACGGATATTGAATCTTATGAAAAACACGATACCTTGGAATACAGTATAGTACATTAACAGTACAGTATAATATGCATACGAAACGTTGATAATAAAATCAATCGATTTTCGGCGATCGGATATCGATCGCTTTGATGAATTTTCAATGGATTTCTATCCGATCCTTCTGAGAAAGTGGGCCGCAATATTCCCAACCGGTTTTACAAATACCGTTCGTGATCGATCGGGCTTATCAATGCATGACAACCAGGACGAATCGATCTTCAGGATCGACGTTATTGAACCTATCGATTGACTTGAAATATTACAAGAAATTTTTTTGTCTTTACGCACTATTAAATTTCCTATCAAATTGGATCCAAATTTATTTTATAATTAATGGATTACTTTTTTTTTTTTTTTTTTTTTTTTTTTTTTTTTTTTTTTTTTTTTTTTTTTTTTTTTTTTTTTTTTTTTTTTTTTTTTTTTTTTTTTTTTTTTTTTTTTTTTTTTTTTTTTTTTTTTTTTTTTTTTTTTTTTTTTTTTTTTTTTTTTTTTTTTTTTTTTTTTTTTTTTTTTTTTTTTTTTTTTTTTTTTTTTTTTTTTTTTTTTTATTATTAAGCAAAAACCAAATCGTCTCCAATGCATTCAAAGTATCGATTGAATAAATCACGTTTCGATTATCGATCCTTTAGAGGTAGTCAATATACACGTGACATCCTTAGGACATCTACAGGATGTCCACAGGAAATGCACGTGACGTAAACAGGACATTGACTTGACAACGATATATTATATATACATATATACACAAATTGCATACCCACAGATTTTATAAATTTTCGCATTTCCTTCTTCCTATACTTTTCTTTGTTTTCACCAGATCCATGGTTTGCGCCTTATCACGTTTCCATATACACTTCCAGTAAAGTCAAGTCGATATATTATCCTCCTAGCCATCTGACCGTATAATAAAAATTTTTTTTTTTTTCCAATAAATCCAACATTTTTAAAAATCCTTTAAGACACCTCAATCATCGAGGATCACGATCACGTACCATAACAAACTTCCATTAAAACCAATGACGATCTTAAACTCGTTCTCCTCGTATGTAGACCTTCGATAAAATTGACGTACGACATAAAACACGTAACGCGCATTCGTCAACCGTTAAAAATGAAGCTGCGATCTATAGTATATCCTTGATTTTTACGATTTTCAAAAAAAATCAGATCGCTCTTAATCATTTTACCTGCTTCCAAACGTAAAATCACTGTATCCCATCGTCATAATATTTTTCACCCACAAGGTACCGTACGCTACTGGTATTTGGATCAGAATATCAATGGTGGGACCGAAAGCAGGCCAAGGGCTACTTTTTCCCTATTCGACGAGAATCTGCAAACCAGAAATCACGCCATTACGCTTGTCATGCCGATCACGTAGACTTCTAGAAGAACCTCATCGTCGCCAGATCGTATTCCAGGTAAGGCCGTGCGTTTTTCTCGTTACTTTCCGATCGCTCCATCTACCGGTCTGTACTTTGGACGTTTTTCTGTTAGCTCAAAATAAAAAATATTACCAATCATTATAATTCGAATTTGCCAAACGAAGCTTGACCAATTATTTTATTGTGAACCTACGTAATGTATATAAGTATTTGCTCTCGATCATTATTGAATTTCTGAACAAATCGTTTTTTTTCTTTCTTATTCTTCTTTACTTCCTTTTTTTTCCTCTCTCACGAGTCTGTGTCGGGAAATAATATTTGCTTCTTTAACTACGTTTTTGTCTTATAAAGTAATCTGTAATAATGACCTTATCGCTGTGGCTCTCTCGACGAATAATATATCAGTATTGATACAATTGCTTGTTAGGAAGAACAAAAGGAGAGCGAAACGATATATATATATATACAAGGCTACGATGTATGGATACAAGGATAAACAGCTCAAACGCAACACCTGACTAACGCACCAACGTTGTTTTCATTACAAATATCTAATAGACGGGCTAATTTCAGTCGAGCGACTACTCCTGCATACGTATTCAAATATTGTTAGAGTGAACTGTCCATATGGCATTTCGTACGGGGTTCAAGAGAAAGAACAGAAACTCAATTTCGTGAATTCCTTTGTTAAGCAAGGAAAAATTTGAGAAAAACACGCATCGCGGAAACCAAGTTACATCTGTCCCATCCCGTCCTGTCTGTCTCGAGGGACATTCGGGACTATCGATTTCCTGAATTCCGAACCCTTAACCATAATATCCTGCAGGTTAGTAGGGCCGCACGAAATCCCAATGTTAAATTGCAAACAACTATTATAAAAGTCAAGTTTCCCCATCGACGACGGACCCCAAATCGGTCGAGGAGAGCTTAGATCAATTTTGAAAATTGGTCCAATTCAATTTTGATAATTGATCCAATTCAATCTTAACTCAATCACGATGCCCAATGTACAACGCGTGTCTTGTCGGTGGGTAAATTTCATCAATAAATTCCAAGTGGACATAGGGTGCAAAAAATTCAAAAAATTAGCAAAAAATTCAAAAATAAAAAAAGGACCCGATAGAACTATCGAGTATTGATGGCAGCATTAACGTTACCAGTATCACTGTGTCTATCAGTGTATATATCGATTTGCGGTAAAGAAGGTAAACTTCCAATTTCCTCGGCTCGCACAACCGGAGGGGTGTTTATTCATTGGGCAAAAGGGAGGTCGTTAGGACTACCTGCTCTCTGGATCTTCTCTGGCCAGGGCTCTGATGTATCCCACGCTTCTCCTACTGGCACTAATCTACCATTCCCTCGTGACAGCAATTCTCCCCTAACTCCGCTAACAGGAAGAAGATTTTGTTTGCAGCACAGAAGGAAATTTGTTACGGATGCGAACCGACGCGATGAAAGCTAAATGCCGGCCGTGTAGCCTGACCGTGTTTCTTTTTTTTTTTTTTTTCCATTGCTTCGGCTGGCATCTTTCTTTTTTCTTTTACAAGACGTTTACTACGGATATGTGTTAACGGAGGTACTGAAAAAGCTTTTTCTTCCTGGTTTATATAAACCACGTGTGTGTATATCTGTATATATGCTGAGTAGGTACGGGCACAGTGGCGTAGGAGCTCCATGATTCTTGGTACAAGGACGGCAGCTCTTGTAGATTTTTTTATACCTGACAATTCGACTCTCCTGTATTTTTTTTTTGGAATTTTTGACACTGATAAAATCTTGAGATAAAATTGATAAGCTATTTCTGCTTTTTGAGTATGTTGGGTAAACTTTAAATTTTTTTTTCATATGTAGACGCTTGTTAATATACGCTTGAATATAGGAAGCATATTCGAACTAATTATTGTTGTAATATGGTTAGTGTGCTGAATACGAAAATGGAATCGGAATTGGACTTCAATATACAAAATCCAATTATTCTACTGACGTTCATTCTAGGTTACGATGCAATGTAAAAATTTGCATAGGATGGCTGTAGCTTCATCGGAATTGCATGGTGTAGTAATAAAAAATAAATTTTAATAATTCGTCGGAACGAGTCTGACGTTAGAATATTTTTGTTAGATAATTAAATGTATTGTGCAATTACCGTGGGCGATAAGAACGTTTTCACAGTCGAACTTCCGTTTATACCTTTTTTTTTATCTTTCGTTGACGACTGGTAATATTTTCTCAGGGTCATCACGTAACTCCACAATTTTCGCATTCAAAGAATCTGGAGTATCCGGGGAGTCAAAAGCGGCAAAAGAAGTCACAGGGTATATGTATACTTAAGAAAGTCAACGGAAGTTCATTCATTCTTGAGAAAAGAAATATTACGTTCTTTTTCTTTCAATGTGTATATATATGTATATACGAATTACCAGGTTGAATACCTTTTTTTTTCCCATTGTACAGATGGATACTTTTATCTGTACATATGTGTCACGTATGTTGGTAGTATATATGTATATGCATATATTTTGGATTTTCTACGCGTTATAAGTAGCGAAACAGTTTTGAATTTTCCCGCTCTTCGCACCCCCCAATGTATACATATATATCACCGTCTTTAACGCGTATGGCTGACTGGCTAAAGAATGACTCGAAAATTCGCCCCGTTTGTTTATTCACGAACGATAATACGTGGGAGTTTGATACGGAGCAATTTACGTTAGAGCGTGTAATGTACTTGGTTATAATGACTTAGAGGGGTCCGTGATATATGACGTCATTGGATCCTTACGATCAGGATGCGAATTAACGTTAATTCGTCCTTCGTCAAATGCGAGGACAATATGCTTCCGAGGGCTGGATAAATTGGGTTAGATAGTCCAAGGAGTCATTTTTTTTACATTTCATATGGGTCTGTTATTCTCGTATCTTCGTCGAACATTTCTTCTCAGAGATCGAAGAAAAATCTTTGTACTTTGATATCCGTATGCGATTTTGAAAAATTCCAAATTCGTTTCGTATATAGTTGCGTTCAAGGATTTTCCAAGGCGCGACACGAATCGCGTGAAATACGAATCAACGGCAAGTGACGACTCGATTTTGAAATTTATAGTGACCGTAAAAGGGCGGATATAAAAAAATTTTTTTTTCTCAATTTTAAAAAAGCATTTTATACTTTTTCTATACAAAAAAAAAGTTACCCACCGGACTGTCGGTCCTGGATTTTTACGAGAGCTCGTAATAAAAGTCGTCGGGCGTTTCATTTAATGGTAAATTTTTTTTTTTGGGAATTCGCGATTAATGCTATTGAGAAAAGTATACTTACGTATTACGTATATTCGTATTTTGTCAACGGAAATATCTGAAACTATTGAAAAATTTGTTTTACACGAAAATTTAATCCATTGTATTTGTTCTGTTCTTTGCGGAATCCAAACAGTCGTCATGCACGAATATTCGCGTGACGCAGAAGGCGAGCGAAATCGGCGTCGTAAATAAATGGTATTTTGACGTTTTCACAAGGCAACGATTTCACGTTCAAACGAAGAAGATCGAATTTAAGAACGCAGATATGGTCGTAGCTGTCCCATTGAGTTCAACTTGGGATTAAATATACTGTTTGTATTTGCGATAATGTAAATGCTGCTGCTCGTTTTAGTGGTACACGTGTAGTCACGTGTACTTACGTGGATTTTGTATACGCCTCTGGGGATCGGTCGATAATACGATAAGCAAGATCGCTACAATGAAATAAGACAAAAAGTACCAAGGTCGCGACGAAATAACTGACCCGGTTAAATATTGACCGGAACGCCGTAAGTTCCGTAAACCAGGGTGCGATTCTTGTTACGTCTGGTGTGACGTAAGGAATAAATAATTAAGAGAAATTTTGTGCATCGAATGACGCATTGATTTTTTTTTTTTAATGAAAAGCTGGTAATCTTGTACTTCTGACTGCTTGAAAATGTATGATTATTAGTGTACAGATGACAAATGAATAGTAAATACTTGTAAATGACTAATGCCATGCCGAATTTTATTTTTACGATATTCACAAATTTTTATTATATTTGTAGTCTTATGTTGGCAGGAATTTGGGTATGTGTATACGTAAGTTTGGCTTTGTACCATTCGCGTCATTGAACGACTTGTTATTTTCCGTTTACGCCAATGCAGTGTTAATAGCGCGTATATACTTATGTAGAGTCTGCTTTTTGTTTTTCTGTGGGCTTGTATTGGTTCTATATTCCTAATATTTGTTGCCTGAATGCGAATTGTTTTTATGTATAATGATTTCCTGGCGTTCGTAAGAATATATTGACCTGCTGAATTGTTATACGTTACTGTTTATGTATACAGTACAATGAGTTTAGTATTCGATATTCCGGTCAGTATATTAACATCGATTGTATAGAAATTATAAGAAGTAGTTAATTGATTTGAATTATAAGAAGACATAGGGATCTTAATATTGTTTTTTCTTGATAGCTGATTAATTGCAGTATGTATAATTAATTAGAAAATGAGTGCAGGAAAGTAATAAATTATAAAATATTCAATTCATCGGGGGCGTAGCTCAGATGGTAGAGCGCTCGCTTAGCATGCGAGAGGTACCGGGATCGATACCCGGCGCCTCCAAAATTTTTTTGTTTTTATAATTTTTTTTTTTTAATTAGACATTAAATTCCATAGTTGATGATCCTTATAGAACATTATTGTTTTGCAACATTTAAATTTAAATCATGTTTTCACTTAGTAACAGATATTTTAACGCCACCCGATTTTATAAACAGTATCAGAATTCAGTATTCAGTGTTCAAATTAATAATTATATATATATATATCAGTGTTAATTATAAAATGTATACATTCGTTCTCTGCCAGCAATACGTTTATTATTTTCAGACGTCGACGTTTTTGCAAAATTCCATTTTAAGATTGAAATAACAAATCCCAGATATTCCAAAAATTTCTATACACAACTGTGCACACAATTGATTCATATTACGTGTTTAACAAATATCTATACTTAATTTATTGGAATCTCGCGAAGAACAGCCATCTTATTGGAATACGTGTATTTTTCGAAAACACACAAACCGTGAACTAATTTAAGAAATGAAAGTTAAACCATCACAGCGACTGCATATTTTCGCGAACTCCCCGAGTATTTGTGTCGCGTCGTTCCGTAACTTGTCTTCCAGAAACTGGTTGGAAAAGGTGGTTAGGAATTGAAACAAGAAAATCAAGATTCACCATGGCGACACAAGGCAAAGTATCTAATGCGGCATGCAACAGTCAATTATAAATGCCGATGCATTGGCATTTTTAAAATTGCATGCAACAAGGGAAAAAAAAATTGAATCATTAACAAGGATGCGAAAATACGCTATAATAATTATTATTTCGAAAGTATTCGCTCGCACAATTTCCAAGTCGCTGACGAACCGTGAAATTGAAATTGAACAGGAATATTTTTTAGAATTTTATTACAATGATTATTTTCCAATAAAATGACCCAAAGGTGCAACGGATGCAACTGACGTTTGTCTCTGCCTCCAGTGGTAATGTATACCCAACCTTAAGTACCAAACGCATAAAAAAGACATGTAAACAGACTCGTGAACATGCGTTTAAACATATCATTGATTTCCACTGAAATTTAAAAATCGTACAAATAATTCCGACGTCAGTTTCCTCTCTGTGTAATTGAAAACAATTACAGATCCACTGCACATACGAGTGCAAAGTCGAAAATGTAATTTTTTAGAAAATTTTTTTTATCAAATATCCAATACCTGTAACCATCAATAAACGTATAATCGAATTTTTCGTAAAACAAGAATAATTGAATTTGATAGAAAAAAAAAAAAAATATTTATTCTGTGCTTTGAACTTGCAAGTATTTAAACCATTTAGACAAGCAGTAATCAAATAATGCTTAATAACGTACGTCGCCTGCACGTTGCGATTCGATGACGTGTTATGCCTGAAATGACGTAAATTGTACAATAATAAAAAAATGCATTAAAAGTAGAATAAATCTTAAGACGTCTTCAATATTTCTCGGGGAATCGATTTCACCGCGGAATTTAATCCTGTCTTTTAAATTCGAGGTCCCCTCAAGGACAGCCTTTCATTTTTCACGATTCCAGTTCGCTTCCGAATCCTCACAATTTTTCCTTAATCCCCACCGCCATAGTCAGCCGTGTAATAGTATAGGACGATTCCTAAAGACAATTTTTCTACCTTACTCGTGTCTTATTGGAAATTTGTTTGTCTTAACACAGCGTGAACTTCTGACCCACTGTAGAGGCTATCGGCAATGTATACTGCATTGCGGTGATAGCAGCGACCAACAGCGACTTCTGTATTACGTCAGACTTTAATTAGTACCAATTTATTAATTAACGGTTAATTAAATAAAATCCCTGACAAAAACAAGCCCGTATCCGAATAAACTGCAGAGCATCAAATCCCATTGCAACGGAACGCAAAGGAAGCAAGGCGCGTGTCGCAAAATACAATATAGACTATCCGGTATACGCTGAATGGATTAGGAAGCCAAAGAAGAGCGATGACGTCATCGGGTCGACGTCGATATAAGGACGCCGAGCGTCGCCGAGGTAATTCAGTAGAGGAGGGAAACGACAATAGGGAAAATTGAATATCAGAATGGTGGTGAATTTCAAGGTGTTCAAAAAGTCATCACCGAACGGCAAGATCTCTGTGTACCTGGGTAAGCGAGACTTCATCGATTACCTATCGGGAGTGGAGCCAGTCGATGGGGTCATCCTGCTGGATCAGGAGTACGTGGACGGAGGACGTATAGTCTGGGCCCAGCTGATATGCAGCTTCCGGTACGGAAGAGAGGAGGACGAGGTGATGGGCCTGAATTTTCAAAAGGACCTGTACCTGGTATCGGAGCAGATTTATCCTCCGACGAAGAAGATGGAGGCTAACCTGACCCGACTTCAGGAACGTCTGGTCAGGAAATTGGGTGCCAATGCCATTCCCTTCACTTTCACCTTCCCCCAAAGCGCACCGTCCAGCGTGACACTTCAGCCAGGTCCGGACGAGGCTGGTGAACCCTGCGGGGTCAGCTACTGCGTCAAGGTCTACTCCGGGGAAAGCGAGACCGACGTCACCCACAAGAGGAGCACCGTGTCCCTGGGCATCAGGAAGATCCAGTACGCCCCTACCAAACAGGGTCGCCAACCCTGCACGGTCGTTCGCAAGGACTTCTTGCTGAGTCCAGGTGAACTGGAGCTCGAGGTCACCCTGGATAAGCAGCTGTACCATCACGGCGAGAGGATAGCCGTCAACGTCTGCGTCAGGAACAACAGCAACAAGGTCGTTAAGAAGATCAAGGCCTTGGTCCAGCAGGGTATAGACGTGGTCATCTTCCAGAACGGACAGTTCAGAACGGTCATCGACGCCGTTGAGACCCAGGACGGCTGTCCCATAAATCCTGGCTCCAACCTGCAGAAGGTCATCTACCTCAAACCTGAACTGGAGAATAACAAGCATCGACGTGGAATTGCTCTCGACGGCAGACTCAAAAGAGAGGACGGAGAACTGGCCTCCAGTACTCTCCTGACCTCACCGGACGTCCGTGACTCATTTGGCATTGTAGTCTCCTACGCTGTCAAGGTGAAGCTCTACCTTGGCGCATTGGCAGGCGAACTTTCGGCCGAGCTACCCTTCATCCTGATGCAGCCGAAGCCGTCGGAAAGGGTGAAGCCGATGCCTAGCGAGAGTCTGGCCTTTGAGGAACTTATCCAAGAGGAAAAAGGAAACGAGGACGCGAACCTTCCGTTAAAAGCTTGAAAAATTATCAGCTCAAAAATTATATTTCATTTATTAACCCAAATTATAGATTAGACAAAGTCCTGCCGGCTGACTGAGGAAAAATTTACATAACGAAATCAGCTATTACTTGGCACGTATTTTATTCTGTAATCAAGCTTTACGACACTCGATTATATAATGGTATGTAAAGTGCGTATCACGTGCAATAAAAATAATTTAAAAAATACAGCCAATTACATAATTTTTATTTTTAAAAAATTCATAATAGACACCCTGTCGAAGCTATGCAGGTCACAATCAATTTTATAACGTGACAGTCATTCCTGCGCCTCTCGTGACAATATAAATGGTACCGAATCAATTATAATCGTTCAATTAAATTAAATTGAGTTTCGACCAAATTCACTTTTCACTGCTTGCACTAGGATAGACATTTAATCTGACGTACGTGTAGGGTCGTGAGTATCTCTTGGCTGTCCTACCATTCATTCTCTAGGGTGGCACACCTGTCATTATTCTTCTGGACCATGACGGGGTCCGTGGACACCCCACGGTCTCAATTCCGTTCATGGGAATTTTATGGGTCACAATGACACGGGAAGATATTATTTAAAAGAGTCAATGACGCTCACCGTTCCTTTTTTATTCTTCACGTTGTATACCTGTTTCCGTTAATCTATCTCTCTCCCACCTTACCAGGTATATCTATATGTTTCTCTCTTCAGAATCTTCCCATAGCGTCAACTTCCTTGCGTGATCCGAAATACTTGGGAGATCCAGGTTTCGAGAAGAAAAGTCTTCAGGTCGTACCTACGTGCATTCACGCACTACATATGTATACTCGTATATATACATATGCACTGTACGACACGCAATACAATACGTCAAAAAGCCGGTTTTCTTTTTATAAGGTTAAAATTTGAATTTAGAGGGGTCGGATTTTTTTATTATTTTACATTTCATGCATTTTTCATAATAAAGTTCTAATTACATTTTTTTAACGAAACGTATATATGGACATTAAGGCGTTCAACAGGCTTAGTCGCTTTTACAACGGATATATAGGGTGGCCGTGAATTTTTTATGATTACGATTAAGACACCTTGAAAAATATATACAAAAATTTTTTTTTGATATCAGATACGTAAATCATTTTGATTTTGAGTAAAGTTTCGTTATCTGCCCTGATTTTTTTCAAGGGCTACTCGCACTTTGAGCCACGTGCTGAATGTTTTTTTTTTCTGTTTTTGGTTTGCTCATTTTACTCCTGTCTACTAGTATTGACTATGACTGTACTGCCGTTAAGGGCCACAAGCGCCAACTCAAAGTGAAGCAGTTTCCAATCCTGCTTATTCGTGGAATTGGATGGATGCTGATCAAAGGACAAGATCAATAGTGATTTTACAGATGATTCGTGCCCGTTGAGTCATCCCGTCTGTGTCTGGAAAGTTTGTTCCGGTTTGCCTGGAGACATGGGCCTCTACGACTGTAATTAACGCGTCGAATATATTTCAAAGAAGTAAAATTAGTTATTACTTAATTTTTATCTTTTATCAGTGTTACGGCTCTACTTTTATTTTTTAATCGCCTTTATACAATTTAATCTTAATCAGGAGAAAATACGTCATCTGCTTTTTGACTTCTTATACAGGATCTTTGTATATTTGATATTGCTTGATCCGATTATTATTATTATTTTTCGAGCACGTGTTAAATGTTATCAGATCGATCCTTGATCTTTTGCTTTGTATGTCATGAAAAAAAATCTACTTCTAGACTCTTAGATGAGGAAGTCATGAATTTTGAATGGACCGGAGCAATCCGTTTCGAGTATTGTTCTTGACTTCCGGTACACTGGAAGTTCCGGGTGGGAGGAGTCGTAGATTATTATTATGAAATTTTTGAAAAATAAAAAAATTCACTAAAACTTACGTATAAATTGATAAGGTGAGATTTGAGTTTGAAAAATATTTTTCAGTCCGATTTATCGATACGATGATAATTTTCTTGGATAATTAATTATTCGCGTAATTACCAAGAAATTATTAATGACTATGTAACCACGTTAAGAAAATCCCCCGTTGGGAATGCTACACTGAGAAATGAGAAATCGTTATCGTGATACAAAGCGAGAACAAATGAATCTCGACTGGGTGACGCGTTTATATAGACTCGAGTAAGTGACGTAACGCTACATAAGAATCGCGCGATAATTATTGTTAGAAACGCATCTGGCCTTACTAATAGCAAAGGAACTTTCTTTTGTTTCCAACTATCGACAATCACATTAGTTTCATTTGATTTTTATGGATTACGTTACCGATTTTTTAACGGGTCATTGAGGGCTCGATAACTGTAGACACTTATCAATGTTGTGTATATATACATATATATATATATATGTATATATATATAGTTGATAAGTATATATCAACGTTACAATTTGTCTGACGTATAATGGTACTTCTGGTTGATAAAAAAAATCAGGGTCTACAAAAGTAACCCGGTCCATATTGATTATCTGACTTTTATACGTGGGTGATGAATTGATTTAGGAAATCATAAAATTACACGAATTGGTAATTGAGTACCGTAATTCAATTTTTTAAAATTTTTATTTCAAAATTTCTGAAATGTAATAAACTTACTTTATCGTAGCGAGTGTCACGTGGCCTGTGCTAACCATTGTTACTACCTATATGCGACGTCGCTTTAGCCACTTTCGATACAGTTTCCAAGTGAGCGGCGTGAGTCACGAGTCTTTGGCCATGACAATACTTGAGGCCAGTGGATAGGAGTTACTTCGAATGCAGTGTAAATTTTTCGTGAGTTAAGGTGCGCCGGATACTATTATTTTTTTTTTATTATGGTACTTGATTTCATTGGACTCTCTCCTTAGATTTAATTGCATTTAATCAATTTTTTTTTTATACAACACCGGAGCCCGGTATTGCGAAAAGTAATTGAGAACCAGCCGGTTTTTATTGTGAAAATATTATTAGATTTTGCCGACGTAAATTAATGCTTTGGAAGACATTGAAATTTTGGTTATATATTTGGTTGATTTAATATAAAAAGAATTTTTAAAATCCTTGTTAATTTTCTGAGGTTCTAAGACGTCCCTGAAAATTTTTTGCAAATCGATATAATTCTTTGCCGTTTAATTCAAGGAGCCAAAATTCAAATCGTACTGAATTTCTCTACTTGAAATTGCAACGCTTATGAACAAAGCGGTCACGGTTAACCTTGCACCATAAATCTGACTGTATAAACCGTTATTAGAAACTTGTGGAATGGTGGGTAGATTCGGAATTGCTCGATAATTCAAATTAAACATTCTTTACGATCCATACATTTTTAATTAGTTAAAAAGAACCAAGCACGAGGTTATACCCTGATTAAAATTACAGATTACCTAACGAGGGTTACCGTCGTCAGTGGGAGGATCGGTAGAATTTAGAGATTTCTTTTTTAGAACATACCATATTTCCTGTAGCTTATAACATAGGTAAAATTTGAAATATTCTTTTTATTATACGTCGTCGCGAGATAAGATTTTATTTTTTTGGATAATTCATGTAAATATCTTATTCATTTTTTGATGTTGCGGGTAAAATTATTTTTTTGGGGGTTTTACTTTGTATTTGGTAGTACTATATTCGGTTCGTGCATCATAGTTTCTTATATTGAAGTTAGTGTATAGATAAAAATTGAAAAAAAATGGGTTATCGTACGTTATTACGCATTATTACTCATGGTTTATGAGGCATGTAAATACGCTACTTATTTTGTATCGGTGGTCAACTATAGATTTACTGTTATGGTAGTACTGAAAGGCAGTGTGCTTGTTTCATAAAGATTGTGCGTGACGTATATGATTGATTGTAAAAAAAATTGTAATGAGTATTATAAAATATTGTGTGACCATATTAATTACGTTAACGATCAATTTCAGACATCAATTGATACCTAAGCTTGATTTTACATTCAGTTTTTTAAAGTGAAACATTACTCCGTTCGTCGGTTGTCAGGTTATTTAATTTCGTTTGTAATTAAATCTCAAAGATTTTTCAAATACCGATACATGGTAATGCATTTTTTATCATACGGGACTCTACTGTTACCTACATTTTTATCTCTTGACGCTGTTTTCCCGACTGTCAACAAGTGAAACAAGTAATAACTCTACTATACCGATCAAACAGTGCACGACCTTACCGACAGACGGTAATATTATATTTTCCAGCTTATCGGGTGTACATAACAGCGTACTTTCATTGACTGAAAGTAAATGGAATAGGCATCTTAAGGTTTTCGTTAGTTCAGCAACGACTCAACATAGTTTATTCGGTATAATAAAATAATAGCCTCGTCAAGCCACAGATAGCAGCACTCTCGATGACCTGTCATACTGTCAGATTCGCAGGGCACGAAATACACGAAAATATCTAGTCTATTTATCTACACTTAACGCTAAGAGTAATATAATCAGTCGGTTCCCTAAACTGGTGAACATTATAAATGTATTTGAGATCTGACACGGTGGATCTATTTTCACTTATTCGTAAGAGGACAAAATCATATCGTGCTTTATCAAAGTAAAATTTTCGAATGAAAATGGCATGAATGATAAAACGCCAGTTCAATGATATCTTATCAGTAAAATTCTTTATCCTACTCTTATCTGAAACCGTCGATACGTGATATGGCAGGAACATGTGACAGTGACATTTTCCATAATTTTCCTAATTTTCCATAATTCTTTAAAATATTGTAACACTTACCGACAGTAAGTACCTACGTAAAATCATTCCGAAAAAAGCTACCTTGACAAACGGGCTAGAGCTCTGGGAGGTTATGTTAAATTTCCTGTTAGTACAAAATAAACACTGCGCCATCATTATATTCATAAACAGTACGAAGTGCTCACTTAAGTAATTATTCAATCGTCTTTCGCATTAAGAAAGAATCCCACGTGTATTTCGTTGTAATCGTCACTGGTGTCACTTTATATAAAATTACAGGATGTTCACACGTCTTATTTGTCGGAGCATTTAACTTGTTGGGCAAAAGCCGGCAGGAGTTAAGTGTACGAAATTCGTCGTAAGGTCAAATATTTAAGAAAAAGAATTCAACGTGCCAAGAGACGAATTCAGTATTGTCTGACGTGTCGTTATTTTCTACTGGGTGACGAGGAAAACAAAAAATGTAGGAACGATACCGCGGACCTCGATATGTGGAAGTAAATAGATACGGAACCTGGTGGCTAAGAAACGTTGACGTATAGTAGCGACGTGACGGGCCTGCGAACTACGGCGTCAAACGTACTATGGAATTTCGCATTACCTTGCGCTTTTTCCAGCCGATTCCAATTTCAGCCTCGGTTCTTCATAGGGCTGAAGCATTCGTCCTCTACCCTCAAACTGTACACGTGCGCTTTCCAGAACGTGCGCGGATCCTCTGAAGACCCTAATATTACCAACATATGTTGAGCTATTCAAAATAGGGAAAAAAATATATATATACATAAAAATCATGAACGCTCAAATTTTCAAAATATATATAAAATATAAAATTCCCAGCAAGGTACCTTGTGCAGGATACCATAATATGAAATTTATTGACAGACGAGTCTATTTCGATTTTTTTTTGAAAATCTCAAACTAAAAATTTTATCTATAAATCTACCACACATATATTATTTTTGCATATACGCAAATGGTATTAAAAGTCATACCCAGAAAATTTTCCTAATCAGTTTAAGCTGAGAAGAGTTTCGAAATTTGATAATACCCGCGCGATCGACACTCAGTCGCTGCTATCAGCTGTCTGGTATAACGTTCGTATCTTAGTACGTTATCTCCAAGATAATGAAAAACCAGGCGCGACCTAGAGCACCGAGTCGTGTGCTGTTTACCATAGAGCACAGGTGCTGGATAGGTGAGTCCGTGAAGTTGTCCCAAAATAGTGTTTGTCAGTGTCATTTAAGCTTATTGAAATTCAAAAATAAAATTACTGAACTTCAATTTTTCCCAGGTCCAGTTCGTCTCCTCGGCAAGTACTATAAAGAGTATCAAGGAACTCTCGTAAAAGTCGAGCTCGGTCCCATCAACGAAATCAGGCATTACCAAAGAGGCTCAAACAGCAATGTCATTTCGCGAGCTACCTGAGGATCTGAAGTCAGTTGCCAAATCGGAGCTGAACGAGGACGAAACCCTCTTGGGAAAGGATGTGAACCATATTTTGGATTGGTTAAAAAAACAGCCGCACATTAACGCCAGGAAGGATCCACAATGGCTGGTAGGCTTTTTACGTGGCTGCAAGCACAGTCTGGAGAGGACGAAGGAGAAGATAGATGCCTATTACACGATAAGGACCCACTTGCCTGAATTATTTGCCGATCGAGATCCAAAGTCATCGAGAATTCAAGAGATTCTTGATCTGGGGTACGTAGCATGGACGTAACATATGTGAACGCACCTTTACTAATCTCGTTTTTTAATGTGCCCCGCCTCTGATCCATCAGCACTTATCTGCCGTTGCCGCTGACTGACAAACCAGATAGTCCACGGATTGTGTTGATTCGAGGCGCCATCTATGATCCGAATAAATATACATTTTTGGAAATTTTTACTGTCAATTTCATGATAATGGATCTACTGCTGCTGGAGGACGATCGGTTTGTGATTTAATTATTTATATTATTCTTAAACGTATCTATAATTACGGTATCGACGTAAGTGCTATTTTTATTTTTATTCTTATTCATCCAAGGCTAGATGTCGCGGGTCAGGATACCTTGCTGGACCTAACCGGAGGCAGAGTGGAGCACGTGTCGCAATTTTCACCAACCGTCATAAAAAAAGTCGTCACGTGCTTTCAGGTGGAATTGAATTTTATAATGGATGGTTTGTTCGAGGTTCTATGAATGATTTTGATCTTTTTTTTTTACAGGATGCTTATCCTATCAGGACCAAGAGCCTACACTTTATTAATACACCGACGACCTTCGACCTGGTCTTTGCTATCTTCAAGAGATTCATGAAGGATAAGCTGAGGCAAAGGGTAAATTTCTTATCACTGTTAAAGTTACGTTTGATCATACCAGTCATTTTTGTACTGGACATTTTTTTCTATATTTAAATACTGACTTTCTCGGCTCAGGCATATTAATTCTAATGCTTCTTATCTAACTGATTGAAGATTCTTGAATTTATCAGCAAGGTCTGTCACGGTAAATTATTTGAAAATAATTCATTGTTTCAGATCAAAGTTCACAGTACTGTTGATAAAGTTTATGATTACATACCTAAGCAAGTGTTGCCTTCTGATTATGGTGGCGATGGACCATCTGTTGCAAAATTGACCAGTAAGTATCGATTGAGACTGATAATTGTATCAGTAAAAACGATTGGTCTTCGCAGCACAGATTTATAGGCAGCAATGAATATATTATTTTCTAATGTCCATACCACTCTTTTAGGTCACTGGAAACAGAAGGTACTGGACAACCGTGAATTCTTTCTGGAGGACGCGAAATTCGGTGTAACGGAATCAAAGAGGCCAGGAAAGCCCATTTCCGGTGCTGATCTCTTCGGAGTAGAAGGCAGCTTCAAGCAGCTCAGCATTGATTGAATCCCAGCTCTCTGACCAAACAGAGAAAATAACGTTCCTACGATTGGCTATTTTTAAGAATATCCGTGGCATTAGGCATTAGCTCGGTCAAAACAATAGACCGAGCACGTGAGATGCTTGTACCGAAATAAAAAAGATAGTCTTCCAAGCCAAAAGACGTTACAAGAAAAATTCTTAAATATTACCATGAGATCTGGAAACGTTACTATCGGACATAGAAAGCAGCCTTTACCCAGAATGCTGCAGTTTGAACACACGTGTATGTAATGTCTCGTCAGAGGTCGCTTATATTATGCTTCCAATAGGCCAATATGTGCCTATATAGGCCAAATATATATCCATGGAAATGATAAGAAAATCCCGTGAGATCCAGTCGCTGGAGTCTGCCAAGTGGAGGAAAGAGATATTTGGATACACAAAGAGGTCGGAAGGAGATCAAGCACGGCCGTGACCGGATGAAGCAATATATATATTATACTAGGTGGTCCATGGCAAAAGGAGGGACTGCAGACAGTATACTACGTACATACTAGTTACATACCACACAAGGCAGTAGGTTGCGCCAAGGTGGAGACAAGGGATGGAAGGATCGGAGAGTAGGTGAGACTTGTCTTCGGTAAGACATTATTAAGGACGTGCCTGGAATAGCAGGCTGGGTAATTACATTATCATCCGACAGACAACCCAAGTCCCGAGCACCGACGTCGGATAGACCATCCACCCCTTTGGGCGTCCAACGCACCCTTCAGAATAGGAATACGTGTTCGATCGTAATGCGATAATACACGTGTGGATGAGGGTTGATCGTTCGCATTTCTTCGACTTTTTATTCCCTCGGAAATTTTATATCGTGCTGCCCTTGCGAGGAAGGAGTCCTCGAGGGGGTGCGATTTTGAAAAATATTTTGTAGTGTAAAAAAAAATTTATTTACATTGTATTTGGTAGGGTTGAAAATAATTTTTGGAGAGGCATGATTTTTTGAAAATTTAAATAGATTTAAAAAAAGGGGGGAAGGCTTGTCAGCCCTGATGAAGGTAGGCGTTTAAATTACCTCAGCCCTTTCTTCAAGGGTGGTATCTACGTGCGAGATCTGCCCCAATGCGAATTTCGCACGTTTCGGGAGTAGGGCGTCGCGACGCTTGTATCCAGATGTACGCCGATGTATGCGTTGGTGTATATGCAAATTATCCAGCGTCCCTCCACACGTCCCAGCATCCGTCGATGCTATCTCGATTCTCTCATCCAGCTCGAAACCCATTGGGGAACGCGGGCTAGGGAGTAATTTGAATAAGAAAAGTTTCGTCTGATTTTCGTCGCGCTTCGAGACCTATGGATTCCCAGAGAATCAGACTGGGAATGGGCGACCTAGCCTGAAAATTGGAGTTTTACGGATATCCGTTAAGATCTTCGCAAATGCGTTTCCAGAGCTGCGTAATTATCTTTTTTCCTTTTTTTCACTCTATCTTGTTATCCTTGAAAAATTTCGGTCTACGTTTGATTCTTAAGCAGATATATATCGTAAAAGTCTCTGAATCTTTTATATATGTATATATCTTGATCTTTTCAAGAATCGTCGCTTTTCCAACCCAAACCGAACCAGTACGTTCAATCGTCATGTACCAATTTTTTATTTCCGTTTCAATGAGACCGATTGACACGCATCGATGACCCAGTGTATCCAGGTCACGGCCCCACGCATGAATTCCCAAAAAAAAATTTGAATCCTCAAAGAAAAAAAAAAAGATTAATCATCTCCTTTGAAAATTCCTCTTCGATCTTTACACAAATTTTCATGCAAATCCTGAATTCGTCTTACGAATCGCACGTTAATTTTTCACAGTCCTGTTACACCGGAACCAACAAAATATTAAAGTGGAACAGCATAAAATTTGTAGGCTATATAATTTGGACAAAAATTCGTAGCGCGACGACATAAATATCCTCTAAATTATTTAAGCCATGAACCGATCTCTCTTCGCCTGTACTCTCCGGCCTACACGCCTACAGTACCGTACACTATGGCACAGTACAGTATGGCATACTATAGACGGTGTATGGTTAAGTTAAGAACCCTCGTACGTACTTTTCGTTCCGTTTGATTTCTCTCAGGGACTATAACGGCCGCCGCCCCCTAACCCGGACCGCTAGCCTAACCTAACCATCCAGTTACGTTTTTATTCTGCTAGTTGGCTCGCTGCCTACAACTGCCTACCTTTCTGCCCTCATGACTTACCAATGAAGCCTTTTCGCCAGTGGTATATACAGTACAGATATATCTACCCTGCAAGGGCACGTTATAGGAATCGGCTTGTATAAAAGCGTGCATAATGAATATTGAAAAAAAATAAAAAATTGATCGTATTTTTTTCAAAATTTTGAAATTTTCGAAAAAAAAATTTTTTTAATACTTTTGTGGTAGACTGTCATTTTTCTATTTGGTTAACGGGTCTTGGTCGTTAAAGGGATAATTTACTATTTTATTCGTACTGCTCGTACCTGCCATTCGATCTCTCTTGAAAGTATGACGATCGACTAATGGCAATTGCTGCTAATCGTTAGAAAACGTTCGTATTCGAGGTCGTTCTAGAGGTCTGGCGTTCACGGAGTCAACGCGTCACTGTAATACAATTTAACGAGCGGTGGCTTTCGCGAGAATTATTTTCTTCCTTATTGGACGGAAGTACTTGGAGATCTTTTTTATTACGATTCCCTGATTCCGCGATTCGATACCTTGTTAGGCACCGTTCATAGACGATTGCAGGTTAAGTTGACCGTGGCGATAATTTCTGTATGTTAAAAATAATAAATCGATCAATTTATCTTGTCGATCAGATTTCATAAGGATTACGAAATATTATTATCGAGATGATGGGTAGAAAAAAATTTTTTTTTTCCTCGTTAGTCGCGAAGCCAATGGTATGCAAGGAGAACCTGATGGACAATAGGTGAAATTATGAAATAAAGTGGATGACCTTGATGCTTACATATATAATGTAAACAGGTTTTGATATATCGATTATATTGATCAGACCCAATTCCACAGTACCGATTTTACTTTAAATGGCATTATTCTTGCGGCAACTATTTTCTATCGATACTTGACATCGTCATTACGTTAGAACTACAGTATTCTCGTCTGGTCGATTATTAACGGGAAAGATGGCGCCACCCTAATCCTCTTCAGCTTACAATTAATTTTCCCAGAGGGAAGCACCGGCAACTTGCTAGTTTTACCCATGGCCTTGTAAACCAACCTTGATCTTGTGTTGTAATTTTCGCCGCTTCTGCCATCCACCATTTTACGCAGGATCTCATTTACTTAATTTAATTCATCACTCAAGATCGTTAATGCACTTGTCTGTAAGATTATTTCCTTATTACATATTCAATGCCGAGTGATATATTGCGTGTATACGTGGATATATATCGATTGATACGATATAATTAATAATTATTACAATTTTTAATACATTGTCGTAAAATTATCTAGGGTAGGATATACCTATATTAAAATTTGATTATTATGCTAAATATATTTTAATTCTTTAAATATACGTATGTATATAATTTTACACCATACACTTCTGATAGGCTATATGGAATTTTATTGTAGGTAATGCTCGTATGGTAACTGTTTACCGACCGAGTAACACACGAGACTTAGGAAGCATAAATTAGCTGCTTATTGGACGAATACTGAGAAATTCTCAGAGAAAAACATACAGTTGACATATTGGGGCACACCTCGAACTCTATATATATGTACGATAGGAATGTATTATGTACCCTGTGAGAGGTTTGAACGAAGTTAAATTTCTTGTTTTTTTTTTTGACACTGTGTTTCTAGGAATTCCCATGTTATTTGGGCCGCTTTGTAATTTACGTATTTCACATTTTTATGCGAGGCACGTGCGATTCACGTGCTTTAAGTAAAGGCACCTTGTATGGCTCTATGGATATTTCGCGTTAGGACGAATAGACTGTATTTTTGTCTAAATTGCTAAAATTATTAATATCATTCATTTGTTCAGCCACATTGAATTTGTATGTTTCCATGTTCGTGGACGTTACGCGATTCAAAATGAAAAATTTTTCAGTTGAGCAACAATTTTTTTAAATACCTGTCAATTGCCACGTGATCAGATTGCGGTAAAATTAGCCACGTGAGATGTACGGGGTGTCAAAAAAATTGATAAATTTCAATATGTCTCTGTAACCACGTGAAATGTTTTTTTCCATTTTTTGCTCTTTTTATTTACCATTTTAATTTGCACGAATACCTGCGAAAAGGTTTGGTTACGCTCGACTGTCAATAATTCTTGTAATTACGTACACAACATATTTTTAACTTTACGTACAAAAGAATTATTGTCCTCTGTTTCTGGGTAAACGAACATTCTGTTTTTACAGTCAGCATACGTATTATATTTATAGCACGATTGTCGCTCAATAAATAATATAAATTTTATTAATGCGCATATCCACGATTAACGTTACCGATATGTATTTCTTATCGTTCACAGGTTAAAAAAACGTGCGGACACGACAAAATATCTTTTGACGTTACGCGCGTTGCACGAGGACTGCGTCCTGCTGCTAATCGAAGATATTTTCAACGTGTGCGAAATGCTGAACGTTACGCAAATATTTTGCAAATTTTCGTCAACACGGCACAACGTTACCCCGAAATTGCAAGATCACGTGGTCGTATCTGGACGACGTGCTAACACAAAAAATAAGGATAGGACAAAAGGATATCGCAAGTAAAATGTTATTTTATTTGCAATAACAATTTGCACAATTACGTAATGACGACCGTCACGGTTGAGAATGACGAAAACCGCTATGCCTGAATCGTACCGTGCGAATCGAATTGATTTTATTCGTATTGAACTTTACTATGGACCGTATGTGTATTTATCTATTCAAGTAGTTAAAGTGTGTGTATATATATATATATATATATACACACATGTTATATCATTCTGAGAACGTACGTGCGTCGTCAAATCGCTAATTCAGTTTTGGAAAGTGTCTGGGATCCACTGAGAGCTTCGAACCGATTTCTCCTGAATTCTGTAGGAGTTTGCAATTGCCAGTTTCCGGATAGTCTGATCTTCTCCCATGGGTAGCAGGAACTTCCTCTGGACCAAGG